CAGTTCAACGATAATAGGAAAAGTTTCAATCTATTCACGAGACTCTCACGGAGCTTCCGGAAATAAGCTTGCATTTTCTTCAATTCAAAGACCATAAAATTATTCTTTCTCAACGTTTGCTTGTAAACCTTCTTGAAATTCTACGTGCTTGATACGTGTATTATTTCTTCTTCTTCAGGTGCCACTTTATTACTGCTTATAAACTGTTGGGCTGTTAATAACTTGAATTGCCGGATATCTTGCGATAGTATAAAAAGCTCCTCGGCGGATGTGATGCCGGTACACTCCCGTACGTTCCGCAACCACGACTTCTTCCTTTTACCAGCCCGTCTCTTGCCTTTTCCCCCATCGTTTCAAGTCATATCGATCGACAAAACGTGTCCGAGATATGCGACTTTCAGTTGTTTAACAGTATGCATAAACTTTCGTGTCGTCCCGATTCGTTGAATTGTTTAATTATTTATTACCAAATAACTTCTAAGTAAGCAATTCACTAGTGACTAGATAATAATTTATTAGAATTTGCCACGAGGTGGATGATGTTACTGGCTGGATTCCAAGTCGACTGAAAATGTTTCTGCAAATTAAAGCCGGAGTTCAAGTCTCTTTGATATAAACTTTCGAGATTATTTATTCATCACATTCACAGATTTAAACGATTTGTTTTATTTATCTTGGTACAAACTTTGTAAATTAATAATTATCGTTCTAATATAATAGTTTAATGCCGTTTTTGTTAGTTATTTTTTGCTCGACTCGCCGCCTACAATCCTCGTAAGTTGTAAGTTTTTAATAGTCGGAGTAGAAAATTTACTATTGATTTTTGAAATATTTCTTTGAGGGCATCCCACTTCATTCCACAGAAAATTTTAATGTAATTCTACCACTATTAACGATTTCAGTAGACAAATCTATATCGTATATAGATTATGAATACTATAAGAAATCTCTACTTGCTAACTATATAATTCTAAAGAGTTTAAAAACTGTGTTAATATATGACAGACCACCAAAGTTAATTTTAGAAAATCTTGATACACTGAAATTTGAGTCGAACATGATTCAACGGTTTTTCCAATTCAAAGCAAAAACGTCAGTGATCTAGTTAAAATAGAAAAAGTGAAGTTTCGAGTGGGTTAGTGCCAACTTCTTGACGTTATTTACTGGCTAAGAAAATTTACTCAAATGATGATAAAGCGTATTAGTCATATATACTCCAAAAAATTTTATATTTACGCTTGATAAAGCACAGGCGTTTTAATACCAAACAATATAACGTATGTCAGTGGCACATAATATATGGCCTGTAATACATTTAAGATGCAGGTAAAAAGATCATTTTGTTAATTGACATTGCCCGAAGAACGGATGGCCGATAGGGCAAAAAAGTTCGTGCGTTGGACAGCCCCCACAGCAAATCCTGGTGAGGGTGGAGGGAAGTTGGATGCAAACCGCGGGGAACCGGTCGTACTGGAAATTTAGGGGAGAGGACTATGTCCAGCAGTGGACTTCAACATGCTGAAACGTCGAAGTTAAAACTGCTAAAACAAAACAATAGGTTAAATCTATTTTCGATAATTTGATAAATGTTACATAAGTATTAATTATAAGTTCATTCAGCTAATTGAGGTTCTTTGATCGGAAGTAAAAAGTATGGTACATCTAACAATGTTTACTTATTCCCGAGCACGCATAGGCATCCTTAAGATGAATTGTTCATAGATTTACGGGGGCTTATGCCTCCGAAAAGGGTCGCTGAACCAGACAAATTGCTGAGGGGGACATTGGAACGCAACGCTGGACGTAATCGTATTATTCGCTGGATTTATGTCGACTTAAATTTTCGGTCGGATTAAAATTGTTAAGTTCACAAAGTGTGTGGAAATTGCTCATTTAAGGAAAATTTTATTACATTTGAAATTTAAGATAAAACTTGTTTGGCTTATAATTTAGACCATTTGTTATTGAATTACATCAACAATAACCTTTTTAAACCCAATTTATTACAATTTCTGTGCAGTGTTGGCCTTGGCTTCAGCGTGTGACTCTCATCACTGAGGTAGTAGGTTCGATCCCCAGCTGGCACGAATGCACTTTCTTTATTTCACATTTAACATTCGCTCAAACGGTGAAGATTGCCTCGTGAGGATTGCCTTAGACCCAAAAAGTCGACGGCGTGTGTCACAGGAGGCTGATCACCTACTTGCCTATTAGATTAAGAAATTATCATGAAACAGATACAGAAATCTGAGTCCCAGACCTAAAAAAAGGTATTTTTTTATGTTACAGGAAGCAAACGGCCAGGAGGCTCACATGATGTTAAGTGATACCGCCGCCATTGGACACCCTTTAAGAATTGGTACACTCTTTTAAGTCGAATTGGTTTGGAAATACTTCAGTAGCTGGTTCCACATAGTGCGCGTCAGAAATTGCCTTAAGAAACGCTCAAAAGCGTAGCGCCACTGATATTATATTTATTACTATTTTTACTTAACACATTTCGACAGCTTTCGACTTAGCGAGAGGCTGTAAAACACTCGAAATTACTTGTAAATAATGTCAAAGCTTGTTTAAATATCTAAACATTTATTTTAATATGAATCATAGGAGTCAAAAGCAGACGTCAGACTAAAATAAACTAGACAGGTTTATGACTAAAAGCTAATTATCTAGTGTTGGAAGTGTACTAAATTAGATTTTCCCAGAAGTCAAGCATTTCCAAACAACTCAAACAACCAGCGATTAACATTAGTTTTGAACAATGTTCAAAGTTCTTGTTCAATATTCTAATGAGTTTAGTGATGCAGAAACTCTATCGTTTACTGCACCATATGGAGCTAAATAGTTCACCTAATTATTATATATTTTATTAAATTTAAAACTCCTACTATTTTTTAATAGGTGGCAAACGGGCAGGAGACTCACCTGATGTTAAGTGATACCGCCGCTCATGGACACTCACACTGCCAGAAGGCAAGTGCGTTGTCGGCCTTTCAAGAATTGGTACGCTCTTTTCTTGAAGAACTCCCTATTCAGGAAGGCAAGAATTGTAGAAGCTAGGAGATCGGCCAATTCCTAAACGATTCGTATTCAACTTTCTTGATTTATTTTCAAAATTAAAATGTCGCATTTTCATAAATATATATAATATAACATGATTGCACAATATCTATTTCGGTCGCATTAATCATAGTATTTTATTGTGGATAGGTGATACACAATAATTTAAAAAAATCGATATATAAACGTCGTGGGCAACGATCTTTCGTAGGTATGTCAAAGTTGTCACACTCAACAACTCAACTCAAACAAATGTACAATATTGTTTTTATTTTTTTCTATCTTAAACCTTTTTGTATATACATATAATGTATTTAATTTATATATATTTATGGCTATATCTTTAATATATTTAGATTACGGAATAAATAAATATATAAATTACACTAATAATATACGTTTTGTACAATAGATTAAAATTCCTAACGATTACGCTTCATTATTTCTATAGACAACTGTGAACATACATGAACTGTTAAATACATATCTTCATTTCAAATATTTCCGGGCTCCTTGGTTCGACTGAAATCTTAGTATAGATTTAGCACCAGCACAAAAGGAAGAACATTGCAAGGAGTCCTCTGAGTCATACCGTCTTTAGCTTTAGTTAAAAATAGTAGAACGCGTCACCCGGCGCCTGATGGGTCGATAGACCTACCTTACTTAGTTCAGAAATACAGCCATGTTAATGTGCTCATTTATCATTCAAGCACTCGTATTTAATTAAATTAGAATTAGTTTGAGATTCTAACTTATTGCTAGACTAGAATATATATTTTCTTTGGATGTTGCGAATTTATGTTTGAAATATTCTGTTGGATTATCACTATTATACCTTCAAATTGTCAGGTATTTCCCGATGGGCGTTAAACAATGAAGTTATTTGTCGATTGAGGCACTCTAAATGCAATAATTTTGAAGCTCGTGTGGTACTCGGGGATTATTTTCCACTCATGTCGGCCAATAGAATTGCACCATGAGACGAAATGTACAGTTAACAAATAAGAATTTCATAATGAATAAAACAACTACTTAATAGCTTTTCTTGAACAACTACCAGAGAAAATCAGAAAGTAAATACCATGTAGGCTGTACACGTGAGTCGAATTGGCAATTTATTGGTCATATTTGGGTCGGAAAAATAATCACTATTATACCTTCGTGTCAGTAGATTAATATCATTATTTTATTAGGCTCTCATAATGAATAATTGTCAACATAATGTGGCTTCTCTGACCACGATTTCTGTTAATATTGGATAAAGAAATTTATGTGATCAAATCGTCTAGTTTACGGCTTTTGAAGTCATCAGAGAAAAGAAAAATCAGAGAAAAGAAAACATTGCTGATGGTATTTTTCTTCAAACGTTTCAGTTTCTATAACGTTCTATAAAGGTGTCCAGGGACAATGGAATCATACCACATTTTTTTTTTTATATAAGTTTTTCTTTGTTAGACCATTCCTTGAGCTGTCCACGGAATAAATTAAAAAAAGTAATATGTGTGTACTTATATGTACATGCGTTAGAAGTTATACTTTGGCGTAACAAGATAAAAAATCTTTTAAAAAATTTAATTTTCGCCTTATTCTACGTTTGTAGAAAAAACGACAATAACAATAGAAAAAAGGTATTTTTAATAAATTGAAAGTTTCATTATAACGCATTATCTAGTTAAATAAAGTTTATTTTAATATCACAAATAAATATTTCTACATAATTAAAAAATGGAATGTTTTTATTTTAAAATGTTGACTATGCTATCTTCAGGGTGTTGGTTTTTTGTTACGGTGTGCGCGCGACTCGTAAAAATTTAATCTCATCATTTTTCCCTAACGCGCGAAAATAAGTATAACTTCAAAAATCTATAAACATTACTAATACAATTTCAGGAGAAACAAATATCAAACACTATGAGCGTGCTATGTCCAATTGGCTCTCTTCAAACATAATACTGTTGGAAACTTACTTGGAGATTGGAGCGAGATCTTCTCGGCATAACTCCCACGACTTCTCCGCGCATAATGGACTCAATTACTGTAACAAAAAATAGTTGTGAACATTTAAATCGATTGTCTTACATGAGATAAGCTTAACATAATATACCGAGCCCAGGAATTCATAGAGAAGGTATGAAATACATCTAGAGCAGTGTTGGCCTAGTGGATTCAGCGTGCGACTCTCATCCCTGAAGTCGTAGGTTCGATCCCCGGCTGTGCACCAATGGACTTTCTTTCTATGTGCGCATTTAACATTCGCTCGAAAGGTGAAAGAAAACATCGTGAGGAAACCGACCTTAGACCCAAAAAGTCGACGGCGTGTGTCAGGCACAGGAGGCTGATCACCTACTTGCCTATTAGATTAACAAATGATCATGAAACAGATTCAACTCTGACCTAAAGAGGTTGTAGCGCCACTGATATATTTATTTTTATTTTTTATGAAATATATCTATGTATTTTTCTCTTATAAATGATTCATAGCCTGTGACAACCATTTTGTCTTTACGTAGTATGGAAACAACTTCTTTAAAAGATCACGCAGTCCACGATTGAAGTAAGCCATTCTGAATAACGATGTAATTAAAATGTTTATATCCGTTAAAAAGTTTAATTAAAAATGTTCGTTCGAACCGGGGCTGGTGGGGCCGGAAAATGCTGACTAATATAAATAATATTTCAAAAGCAATTGAGAAATATTCGTATAGAATAACCAGATTAAATATAAATCTGAATACAATTTAATAATTGTTTTCAAGAGACGCGTCAGAATACATCAAGCTTTCCTATACGTCAATAATCTCGGTTTTTGACAGCTCTTTTCGACAGAATTTGTATAGTTTCTTCACATGATTGAGCTTCCATGGAAGCTTCTTTAGTCATACACACTATCGTTATTATATTTTACCAATACATGTTACAAAATTCGTGCAAGTGAGAATTGAAACGAAAAAATCTCAACCCCAAGTCTGCAGCATATATGGTCCAATACATGTAACAAAATTCGTCAGTAGTTTTACATTCTCACCCCCAAGTTCTCGATCAGAGGGACAAAAGATTGTATGTAACATGTAAAAAATGAAAGTAGCGAAGTAAACATTGTGTTAGTAGGAATAGGGCGAATGGCAAATATATAAAGAACATTGTTCAATACAGACGAAGTCTAGTTTATATTAAGAACATGATACATGCGAACTTGCAAACAATGCTTTATTTTCTACGGCTTCTTGCATCCAATTATGCACTTAGGCTACCTGATACAGGTTACAATAACACGAAGATTTCATGTGCAAGCTATTTTAGTACTTATACACATACAAACAGGGAACCATATGGTGTAAATCAATACGATGCTGAGATTACTGCGTGTGTGAATCCGAAATTGATTATTCATATGATCATCAGTTTAGATATATACTTTGTGTCAAGATATGAATGGTATTAATTTGTAAATGGATTTGAATTTACTGAAAATTGGTGTGATATTAATTTCACGCCTTTTATTACAAGTCATAGGTTGCAGGTGTGGCTTTATAAATATGGTAAAATTGAGGCAATACATTTGTATTTAAGCACAAAGCTGTTTAGAAATTGATGCATCATGATAATATGTCGTGTTCGTATCGGAGGCGTATCAAATAATATTCAAGCATATTTTTGTCATTGTAAAAGCAAACAGCAAAAGTGCATTATCTTTGCTTTTATGAAATTCGAAATTCGAAAATCGAATTATTATTGTAATTTTAGCTACCTTTCGCCCGCTTGCATGTAAATATTTTACTTGTTTTTGCGACCTTTTTAAAAGTAATTATTATATCTCAGTTAATAAACACAAAACCATAATTATACACATATGTCTACCTCAGAAGTAACACTGTCCCAATAGACAAATAAATAAGTAAATAAACGTGGATGGGGGGACTTCATTTTATATGCACCGGAATGCACCGGAAACGAATGTGTTACGCCGTCAGGACAATAACATAAGGCTATCTCTATCAATATAACATTATCTTATATATAATACTCGTGTCGCGGTGTTTGTAGTTTAACTCCTCCGAAACGGCTTGACCGATTCTCATGAAATTTTGTGTGCATATTGGGTATGTCTGAGAATCGGACAACATCTATTTTTCATCCCCCTAAATGTTAATGTAGTCCACCCCTAAATTTTTTTTTTTTAATTTTAGATAATTTTGTATGATACAGCATTAAAAAATATATACAACCCCCAATTTTCACCCCTCTACGATCAACCCCTATTTTTTATTATAAATGATAAACATGGCAAAACGACGTTTGCCGGATCAGCTAGTATACTATAAAAACCTCTGGTGTATAAAACATAGGCAGATGCGCAGCTATATCACAGTATACGTAACTTTACATACAAGCTATAGATATAAAATACACGAGTAACTTTATCGCTGACACGTGAGTTCTGTGTACAATAATGCAAGATAATATTACGCTTCACTATGTATGTTATATGCGAAGTAGTTAAACCATTGTCATATTGTTTATATATATAAGAAACAAAAATCAGTGGCGCTACTACCTCTTTAGGTCAGGGCCTCTGATTTCTGAATCTGTTTCATGATCACTTTTTAATCTAATAGGCAAGTAGGTGATCAGCCTCCTGTGCCTGACACACGCCGTCGTCTTTTTGGGTCTAAGACATGTCGGTTTGCTCACGATGTTTTCCTTCACCGTTCGAGCGAATGTTAAATGGGCACATAGAAAGAAAGTACATTGGTGCACAGCCGGGGATCGAACCTACGACCTCAGGGATGAGAGTCGCACGCTGAAGCCACAAGGCTAACACTGCTCATATTAGATTAAGAAATTGGTTTCAAAATCTAAAGTTTTAGATTTGTATAAATATGAAAATTAGTTGGCCAAAGAAGTTTCACTTCTGACATGTGTACTTTGTACGCACGCACTTTTTTTTCTATAACATCTAGTTTTTGAGATATACCTATCAGACATATTTTTGTACTAGTCATTTAAACTTTATATCAACCAAGCCGTTTTTTTTGTTTATGACGAGAAATATCTTTAAAAACGACTTTTCTTTCTTAACTTTCTGACTTTCTTTCCTCTAAGTTCATCAAACAGAACCTGATTACTTTGGATTCTCTTTGCACTGTAATGAGCATAATTACTATCTAGTGTTATTCGTGTAGTAACATAGTGTGATAGAAATTGTATGGCATACGTTCAGAATGTCACACACTGGTATTGACGTCTTAAACTATGGTTCGTGCCTTCGGGTTGCGAATTTTCGAAAAGTTTTCATATTATGTGAAACTTTAGTTATAAAACTTAAAACAGCGTTTATATTTAAAATTGGAACTCACCTCCATCGCCGAGAAGCCTCATTTGAACTAAAGATGGGTCTTCGCTGTGCTCTTCGAGAACCGTATCGTCGGTCACTGTCAACTCCTGGAAAACAATACAGCTAAGATTAGGAAAAATGTTTATCTTGCGGCTTTGTATGCCAAAGAAATGCGCATCCATTTCGGTTCAGTAATAAATGTCGTTTCGAATATTATGTATCAAAGCGATGAAAGGTTTCCTTTATTAGACAACACGGCATATATTTTATACATAGGTATAAAAATTTTCATGGTATCGAGCCTTTCATTGGAATAGCCCATAATCCTTCCCTAACTCCACCTGAAACTTTGTGTTTACATAATATACAAAAATCCCTTTTTAAATCAATAATGCTTAGGGAGTATTCAATATTACATACAATTCTAATATCGAAAAACAGATAGCCAGGGCTAAAACTTTCTCACGCCCACAACTAGGTGTCTGTTACATGTTATTTCGCCCTTCAATATTCTATTTATATCAACAAAGAATATCTAACACCTCATAAACTGATAAAAGATCTGTGTACAATATGATAGATCACAGAATTCCGTCGCCGTTAATTGTTTTTGTTCGTAATAACATATGTAATTTGAAAATACTTTCATATCAGTACAAGTGTGAAAATTCGAACCAGCTTACGAATGCTTAGTACTCTATGATAATAAATCATTATAAATCGTTTATTTGCAAAGAAAGTGGTGCATTCCGCACAATCAGCCATAATAGGCATGCAAATCTTAATATATGTAAATTACGTGTCACGTTGTTTGTCCGCTATGGACTCCTAAACTACCGAACCGATATCAATCAAATTTGCACACCGTGTGTAGTTTGATCCAACTTAAAAGATAGGATAGCTTCCATCTCAATTTATACCCGCAATATTATTTTATTGCAAAATATTTGTTTATTATTTGATAGTCACAATTCTAACAGATGACGCTGTGTTGAAAGTACCAACGTTTCACATAATCTATAATTTAATGGCATAACCACCAAAAAAGCATGATGGATTGGTGTTCTACTGCCGTTTCTCTTGAATAGTTTACTACTATGTAATATAACAAAATCTTAGCGACAGCAACGCTTGGCCGAGTCTACTAGTGTCATATAAATTATCATGATGTCATAATTGTTGTCAAAATTTATGGTCTTAATACGATATTCTGACGGGCCAAAACAAACGAGCTGTAATATAAACAAACGCGATCGTCCAAGCTTGACAAGGCTAAGGTCATACAGTCACGAACTTGTGATTGAATATACATATTATTATCTAGATAATGGAAAGAATTTGAAGCTACTTCATAGCAAAAAGCTTTATAAATTCTATACAATGAGCGTAGTACGCTGACCCATTTTATTCATGCCTCTTTACCTCGTCTACATGATTTAGAATTCAGTGCATTCTCAAGTATTGTGTGTTCGCCGTTAACTGTTTTCGCCTTTGTTCTAAGCTTTTATTCTCAAACTATGCTTGCGAACTGACCAGGGAACAGCAAGACTTTTTTACAAGCATGTCGCATCATATATTCATTTAAGAAAACTATATATTTTTTAGTAGCGAACATGTTCGTACATTTGAACCTTTAAAATTTTCCAATTGTCAGCGTCCAGTCCCAGTGGAACGGCTGAATTATTGAATATGCTGTTATCTTTATTTGGAAACTTGTTCTTCTACATACAACTGTAATACATCACTTTGCTCTATTGTCAGTTGTTTTAACAGCGTTTCGCAGAAAAAAATTATAAAAGGTTAAGGTTTTAGCCTAATAATACTTTTACTTTTTTATTTATATTCCTATATTGATAAGGGATATTAGATTCTAATGATTAAAAATTTTTCAAATCAATCCAGAAGTTTTGGGGCCTATTCAACCGCTTTAATTATGAGATTATAGCAATTGTTTTAACATTATTTAATTATACAACTCTAGTAGGGTTTACACGGGGCGGGACTCATATAACGGTGTAAATAACTTAGATGTAATACATAAAGTGATTCCAATAACTAAAATTTAGTCAATATTAAACACAAACCATTTTAAAAGTAACTTTATATAGGTGTGAATTGGTTTCATAAGTTTTGACGTAAAAGAGTGTTGATAAACATGTCTAAGGACCAAGTTCAGCACAACTCGGAACAAAGACAAAGTTACTCGGGTTACCGAGGGGGTGGGGTGGAAACTTTGACGTCTCGGACGTTCCCAACTTCGCTACTCGTTAATTCGGAGTATAAATTTGTTTAACGTCTTAACTTTTTAACAGTAATTACATAGAAGTTGAAGATAAATTCGAATTTCAAAACTCTGCCAGAGTTCTGATGAGTTTGATGCGACCGTGTTACTTCCTATTCATTACAGCAAAAGATTTTACGTTTAATTTGTTGTTCTATTATAGTAAGAGTAAAATAGAAGGTAAATTGTCACCTATAGAATTTTTATTTGTATTTTGAATCTCACTTGGGATATTATGTGTGGCAAAACAAATCCCCTTCTGTCCAATCTAATTTCGTATAAATCGTCTTAATTATAGAAAGAATTGAAAAACGGAAAAACTCAGCTTTTATTATTGGCATTTCTTTTTAAGTCACGAAAAACCTATCGACAATATTGTATATAATCATTACTAATAATACTTTGGTATACTGAAGTGTCATTTTTGACATTCGTGATTTTTGAAAACTTGACTGTTGACATCCTAAATAAAATATGTGCAAGATAGTTTTCATAACCACGATAACCTAAAAAGGTTACTATGACGTGAAACATCTAGGATTGCACAGAACAATTGTAACATAGGAAAAACAAAATTCAATTATTTTCCTGACAACATTTCAGCACCCGTCTCCCGAGATGAAAGAAAAGCAATAAACCGTTTCAAAACAAGCCGAACAAAGTTTGAAACAGGGGGATACCACCTGCAAACTTGTTAACAATGTAACCAAGTCGATACAATTGGTTATACGTCGGAGCAGAGTAAAAGTTCATGAGGTATATCATAAGATAGAACTTTAAATAAAGAAGTATAGACGAGATAGGAAAATAATGTTGGACCACCCTTTTGACCACCATTACACACATGAACATGCAACGTGCTTTCGTTTGCAGTCTCTACCTAATTTTTTTTTTTAAATAAGCAGCTGTGTTACATCATCGGACATCGAAGCAGAATACGAATTTCCATCCGTATCACCTCGACGTCCGTCGTTCCACAACTGAGCGTTTCTTTAGGCGCGTTCGTTTTTGCCGCGCACCACCACTATGTGGAAGCTACTCACTGAAGTACTTTCGAACCAATTCGTCTTAGAGTCCTTCAAGAAAATATCGTATTAATTAATAAAAGGCCGGCAACGCACTTGCGAGACTTCTGGTAATGTGAGTGTATGTATGATATTTTTTTTTTATAAAACAGGGGGCAAACGGGCAGGAGGCTCATCTGATGATAAGTGATACAGCCGCCCATATACACTCACATTGCCAGAAAGCTCGCAAGTGCTTTGCCATTTAAGAATTGCTACGGTCTTTTCTTTAAGGAGGGTCCTTACGATATATATAAGTCAAAGGTTCGTAAATCGTGGAAATACTCTACTTCTATATATACATTACTATTACTACGGGTATATAACTATATAAGTACTAGTGGACCCCACAGACGTTGTCCTGCATGATATTTAAAGCGATTAGGATATTAAGCAAAGTATGAAAGTACCGACTGCAGTGCCATCTGCCGGGCTGATTTGTGAATCTAAACCATTCCCAGATCCCCTTGAACACACACAAAAAATTTCATCAAAATCGGTCCAGTCGTTTAGGAGGAGTTCAGTCACATACACACGCACAGAAGAAATATATATATTAAGATATAGGCAATCTACCTACCTTACTTTCGAAAATATTAGGTCGCATTTTATTACGTTGAAAAATGTATGAAAAAAACTCCAGTTACGAAACGATATTGAAACGAAGGACTAAGAATGAGGCATAAATATTTATGTTTAACAGGCTTCGACATTACATCCGTTACAATTCTACATCAATTAAATTGTGGACAAAAACGGGTCCAGACCAAAACTGGTATCTTATTAAAATGTCGATAATTGGAAAGCTGTTTGCCACCGTTGACTTTCTTATAAAATATTATATGGATATAATTCAGACTTCCCTTGAAGTGTGCTTACAAGAAAGGAGCATCATCACATGCCTGCTTGGATATTAAAATTACACTGCGTATTTAGTAATAATCAGGTACATACGGTTATTACCGATTTCAATAATTGTTTCACGATCCTCACGTCAACGCCAACTACGCAAAAAACTCAGTTTTGTATCGCGCAGCCCGGGAATACGAGGACCACTATAAAGCCTTGACTAGTTCAAGCTATGGAATATGCTGAATAGGAAAATAATATCTATAGCGCTAAATCACCTGCATGAGCACACCCCACATACACACACTCACCTACATACTTACACAACACAGCTGAGTTATAGTACGAGTATTGTCTTTATTGATATAACTTTTACACATTTAAAGGAAACAATTTTTTACAGGATTGAAGTTATGTATTTATGTATGTATGTACAATTATTTTACATAATATAATACATAAATACATAACTTCAATCCGGTAAAAAATTGTTTCCTTTAAACAGCTGAGTTAGTTAGACTTAATGCATTAAAAAGAATTTAGATTGATTTTTTCCTTTCAAAAATGTTTCACCCTTTTTGTATATATAATGTATCCCATTTTTGGTTATATATTTAGTAATAATTGTTTTTTCTTATATTATATATAATAAATACCATTACCACTCTCCATTGCATATGAAAAACGAATAATAACACGATAATAATAAAAATGAAAAAGGCGCTGCACGTCACAATTAAAATTATGCACTTTCAACATCCAAAACAAGAAAATTAGATCAGAATAGTGCATTGAGAAAAATCAGAGATAAAAAAATATAAATGGAAAAATATGGGGGAGGCTTTAAACCCTAAAAGGGGCCATACAATACTAGATACCACTAAAAAAACTAAATTAATTGTTGACACTTACTAACACAACTAATACTCATATTAAGAAATGTTAACTAATTACTTGTATGGATTCATTAATAATAATAATAATAATATGATTACGAAATAAATAAGTTCAACACAGGTAGCTAAAAAGGTGTTCATAATTCAAAGTCAAAATCTTAACCGGCATTAATAGTGTAGCTGACGCGTGCTGTTTTAGAAATATAATTGTTAATCTACAATTAATAATTTACGTGATAATGTAATGGCTCTGAGTACGATAAGATAATATATATTGGCCAGTTTGATCTATACTCTGCTATGTATGCTATATCTAATTACTGAGGGTATAAACCTCCTTGCTATACGATTTGTCAATTTCCGGTCGTAATTTGTTGTGTCTTAATATGAAAGTAAATATATTAGTATATATATTATGGGAATATTGTTAACGCTATGGTCTTGTAATTGTGGATATAAATTTATTGTTATATCATATTTGAACTTTGGACAAATTTTTGGCTTAGTCCGTATTCTTCTTTTGATTGTGTAGACAACAAAACTTACAGAAATGAATAAAGTTGTATTGTATGTCGTCTGTAGACTGTCTCTCTTTCAATATCAAAGGCGAAACGTAGCCTTAATTACGATTAAAGGGTCCGGTTGATAACCCTAGACTGGATGCCGACGCAGGCTAAACTGGTTTCACTGGGAACTTCCTGTTTCAGAATTATCTTGTAGAATGCCTGTACAGTTAAGTGAACACTGCCTCCCCAGAACCCTAATGACTTGTCTTAAGGTATAACGACTTTGGTTATGGTTTGATGACTAGATTTGATTAATGTAAAAAGGATTTGCTTAACTGGATTTTTAATAGTTAACGGGAACTTATATTTGCACTCATTATTGTGTTTTAAATGGGATGGTCGTTATTTTAAATAGTTTTTTGATGAAGACATGAAATAAACACTAAAGCAGTGTTCTCCAATGTGCACATGACCCACAAGGGGGCATTGATTGTTAAGGGGGGCTATGGAAATCGGCTGGATATAGCACAACGTGGAGAATTGAGGCTGAAGCTAACCAAATTGGAACCTAATATAAAATCTCTGTGCAGCAAGCTTCAAGCGCAAGGATCTCACTAAATTAAAATTAATATTTTATTTTTAGTTCACAATTATTATTGATTTCTTCACACAAATATAATTTAAGTTTCTTAAGTGAACAATTCAATTTTTAATATTGAAAATTATATATGTTACCTATGAAATTTAGAAAAACTAAGGTTGGGAAATACTTTACTAAAGAAAGCTTTTCTGGTATATAATAGTTGGTCTCTAGTGCGTTATTAAATGACTAATTAGACTTTTCTGAATAGATCCTCCACGGACAGTTAAAGGGATTGGGATTTATCTTTCAGAGTTCTTCATTTCTTTAATCTTTAAATGCTTTTTGATCAGACTACAGAGCCTTTTGTACGGCATTGATGTGCGTAAATACGCACGACGTGCCTTACACTTTGTATATCCCATAGCAGCTATTAATAGTACAATAATGTAAGTAAATGAAACGACTTATATCCTTCAAATGAAATTGATCGTCTACAATGAACCACAACATCCGTCCCCTATAAAGAATGTACGAGTATTAATTTAACTCGAAAACCAAAACCTTGGTTGCGGTATATACGTGAAAATGTTTCGTCGTCCTGACATATCCAATTACGTTGAAACTCGAAGGCAACCAAAATATATATACAAGCCTGAGTGTGATCCAATAAATCTTGAACATGATATTCAACTATATACTATATATTTTTTAATTTTAGCTTGTTGATGATTTAATATTTTAAAAGAGAGTAATCATCTTGTTACGCTAACCTCTTATTAAACAAAACTAATTTTGAATGAAAAAAAACTATTCGTTTTAGATAGATAGTTAGAGTTGAAAACAAATCTTTTATTTTATTTATTTATTTTTATGTTACAGAAGGCAGACGGGCAGGAGGCTCGCAAGCGCGCTGCCGGCCTTTTAAGAAATGGTACGGTCTTTTCTTGAAGGACCCTAAGTCGAATTGGTTCGGAAATACTTCAGTGGGCAGCTGGTTCCATATAGTGATGGTGCGCGGCAAAAACTGCCTTACGAAACGCTTAGTTGTGGAACGACGGACGTCAAGGTCAATACGGATGGTATTTTGTATTTTGCCTTGACGTCCGATGATGAAAATGTAATCATTTGAGAAGAGATGAAGCAGTTATATACATACATACGCCTCTTTAATATTTATTCAATAGCAAATTTACTTTACTTTGATTAGTAGCCTTTTTGTGTCATATAAATAGAAACATTTAAATTATCTGCTAAACACCTCGAGTGGGGAAATAATTGAAATTACTTACGCCTGTATGCTCATTTACTCCAACAATGACGGCTGTATACCACTGGGTGGCTCCAGCGACTCGGTACACTTGGGCCCGACAGCCTCCCAGTACAGATGGAGTGGTTGTCAAGATTCTCTGCCCATCCTGCATCGTCCGCCATTCAGCTGCCTGATATGATAAGTCTGACAGCACAGCTGTGTCAACTCCCACTTCAGAGCCAGCCAGTCTTGCGTCCCATTCCTGTACAAAATATTAATACGAAGGTTAAATAAAGTACCTATTATTATAAAAATAAATCAGTGGCGGTACAACCTCTTTAGGTCTTGGCCTCAGATTTCTGAATCTGTTTCATGATCATTTTTAAATCTAATAGGCAAGTAGGTGATCAGCCTCCAGTGCCTGACACACGCCGTCGATTTTTTGGGTCTAAGACATGTCGGTTTCCTCACGATGTTTTGCTTCACCGTTCGAGAAAATGTTAAATGCACACATAGATAGAAAGAAAGTCTATAGGTGCACAGCCGGGGATCGAACCTACGACCTCAGGTATGAGAGACGCACGCTGAAGCCACTGGGCCAACACGGATCAAAGTATCATTATACATATAATAATAATAAAAGCCTTTTATTTCAGATAATTTACACTTAAACACATTTATATTTCTATCATTCTATTCTTTTTAGATGTCTGTGTGCCCTCTTTTGGCAAAGACCTCCCCCAATTCCCGCCACTCCTGTCTGCACTGTGCCACTCTCTGCCACCAGAGTGGCACAGCCATTAAGACATCAGCAGGTGGTACATGGCAATATGTATGCAACTGGATATAACTGATTAGCGGCCCAATTACTTATTATTAGACCAATGAAAGGTGATACCTTTTCCTTCCTTTCGATCAGCATGGTAAACCTATTTAAACCTTTACTTAAGTGTAAGTTACCATTACCTCTTAATTAATGCCTCGGTTTGGTTATTAGTGATTTTAAATGTACAGTTAAAAACGGATATAATACGTAAAAAGTAAAGTATACATACATAATAATATAGAATGATTGGACAGAATGCAGCATGTTAACATACCTGCTGACATCTATTGATTAAAAAAGAAACTAAACGTCAGACATAATATCCGTAAAGCCTGTTTTACAACAAGAATAGTTATGTTAATGACAAAAATAACATTTTAATTTACAAGACTTTTTCATAAGAATTTAGTTGTGAATTGACCCTTCCAAGAGCAGTGTTGCCCGAGTGGCTTCAGCATGCGACTCTCAACCTTTAGGTCGTAGGTTTCATTCCCGGCTGTATACCAATAGACTTTCTTTCCATGTGTGAATGTTAAATTACCATCGCTCAAACGGTGAAGGAAAACATCGTGAGGAAACCGGCTTGCCTTAGACCCAAAACGTCAGCATGTGTCAGGCACAGGAGGCTGATCACCTACTGGGCAAAAAAAAAAAAAAAAAAAAAAAAAAAAAAAAAAAAAAAAAAAAAAAAAAAAAAAAAAAAAAAAAAAAGGGGGGGAAAAAACCAAACCAAAAGGCCCCCCCCCCGGGGGGGGGGGGGGGGTTTTTTTGGGGGGGGGGGGGGAAGGGGTTTAAAAAAATATATAGGGGGGGGGGAATATTAAAAATATTTTTTAACCCCCCGGGTTTTGCCCCACCCCCCAAACTCTCCCCACCTCGATTTTTTTCCCGGCGGGGTGGCAACCCGGGGCCCTGGGGTTTCCGGCTGGGGTACCAACCCCCAGGACAATGAGTCGTCAAAGTCGTCAAAAATAGTCGTCCATTAGATTGACAAATGATCATGAAACAGATACAAAAATCTTAGGACCAGACCTATTAATGTTTATTCTTTTACTCTTCAATCTATGCTTTTTTTATAAGATATTATTTTGGGTTAAAATAAATTTTTGTAGTTAATAGTTTAGGTAGATTCGAGTAATGGCTGGTAGTTATTATATAAATATTCAAGTATTTATAATATAATTACCCATAATCCCTTTTTATACAACGTGATAACAAATCTCCAGACATAATATCATTTTTATCTGAAATTCTGATGACATTAAAAATATAAAATTTTATGACGAGTGTTTTCGGTTTTATCGGTGTTAAGGCTATAATGATAACGGAGATTCCATGATATTAAAATTAAAATACTTTTTACGAGTCTACAGAGAAAGTATTTTTTGATAATACAAGTAGTCAGTAATTATTTCCTATTTCACAGTAAACATTCAGATTTTAATAATAGTATTTTTTTTTAAATCATTTTCAGCTTCATTAGTCACCGACAGAATATCTACAAATCTTTTTGTAATACTAATATTCACTTAATAAGTATCGCAATACAGCGAGGAAATGCTGCACGCGTTAGGGCTCCCACACAAAACTGCGAATTCGCATCGCATCGCAAATATCTGCGGAATTCGCACGAACGCACCGCAAGTTCCGATCTGCTTCGCATCGCACATTCTTGCGATTTTACGTATCCTTGGTGACGCATTTTAGTCCGCTTGAGACAGCTTTAGAGAAAGACCGCGCCCTCCACCGCCTTCTTTGTTTATAAAAAATTGCGGAATATGATATGGTTTTTGACGTGACAACTCTTATAAATCGATGGAGGGCTCACGCACGAAAAAAAATGACTATGCGGCGTTACCTTTGAGGCTTCCATTTAGGCTTGAAGTGCAAGGAGGAGCGCGAGGCGACAGAGAGGCACCAATCCTCCGCTCTTCAGCGTTCGACTCTGTCTTTCCTCTTGAGTGAGCGATTGTGCGTTGTCACTTCAACTTCGTCAGTAAACCGACTTTACAGACAACCGATTTTTAATATTTTTAATTGAGGAGCGTCTCTTTTTGGAAAAGTGATGAACATTATAAAAATAAATTTATTAAGCAAGATGCGGAAGAGCGTCTTGAAAGTTCAGATAAATCGTAATAAATGGATAACCCAGAATCTTTTTTTTTTATATCTATTTAAAATAAAGAGGAAAATCTTTTTGCCATCTTGCTTCCTGTGGCTGTACAAGTGAATGGTCGCCCTAGCAAATCTTTTTGTCGCACTAAATCATATCACTTAATTAGTATTCCGCAATACAGCAGCAGTTTTTGCGAGTGTTAAAGGTACACTGCCATAGGGAGCAAAATATTTAAAGCTGTTTTAATTTTCTTTTTATTAATTTTTAATTATTTTTACTACTACTATGTAGGTTAATTGTAAAAATACTATATATTTCTTTGTTATGTTTAGGTTTTAATAAACAATATAATTTTAAGTAATATTCACTTTATCTTAAAACTTAAGTTTACAAGTAAAGGAATGTGTAAAAAAGTACTGTTGTGTAGCCCTTCAGAATGGTTTTATAATGTTTAAGAAATAATAAAAAAATACATTATTAGTATTGATTGTATTATTGATGTGAAACATCTATAGCCGCATGTAAAACCGATTTCTGGCGTGGCGACGCATACCGTGGCGACCCGTCGCCACGCTATATGGTGTTATATATATACAGTATATATGCAGTAGTGTGTACGGTGTGTGTTTCGAAGTCACTGATTAAACAAATTAAGTAGTCACGATTTGAAATAAATTCGTAAATTTTTGTATTTAATGAAAATAAATGTTTATTCAATAAATATAGTCATCGTTATCTGGAAAAAAATCGTAATATTTTATTTTATCATTATGACATATTTAGTTCCTATCACAATCTGTTCTTTTCTGCATATGACTTTTACAAAATAATGTCGATGTTTCACATCTGCCAGGCGTCCCGTGACGCCTCACATTTTTTTTTACATAATTATATTAGCAATCTCTCAATGATGTTGTTACTAAGTTTTATTTTCTCTTTCTTATATAACTGCAAATCAATAATGAGTAAATGTTTCTGTGAAAAATTATACAATTGTATCAGTAATGATTGTATAACATTTATGTTAAAGCTCAAATCGCCAGTACGAATAAATTTAACCATCTTGATCTGTTTAAAGGAAACGGTTTTACCAAAACGCTACTGCAGATAATAAGTATTTTATGACCTCAATGAACATAGAGCGCCATCTCTTATTCGATAATCGAAACAAGGACAGGTCATGACCTCTAACTAAAATTGAATGTTTACAACGTGAAAAGACTAAAGAACGGTTTAAGATGTACCAGTGTACATCTTAAACCGTTCTTTAGTCTTTCTTTCTAAGCTTGGAAACATGTGGTACAATTGGCCTATAGCTGGACAAAACATTTTGTAAAAAAAAGATTTGTTATTATATATATATATTTTTAATTATATAATGAAAAGAATTTTTTGTATCTAAGTTTTTAAATTTTATTACTCTTTAATGTTAATATTAAGGTTTCGAATTTGTAAATATGTGAGGAAATGTATACTAACTTTTTAGTATAGTAGTTTATTCTAAGAGGATACAAAAATTTAACAAAGTAACAAAATATGTAAACCTATTTTAAAAGAGTAAGGGGATTGCCATCTTCTCAAAAATACCTTTGAAGGGGAATAGAATCATCTTTATATTTTTTTTTTTGACGTTAAAAGTGCCATTAGATGGGAAAAACAAGATAACGTAATCTTTAGATAAAATCTACATAATAAATAACTTTGAACTTTCAATATTTCATAATGATATGTGAAACATGTTATATGTAATTGCATACCATTTGTGACTGCAAACATAACTATTGAGCGTCAAGATTTATCTATGTAATTAATAATATATGTAAATAATATATAGAACTTAAGATCTTAGAATCGTAAATATGTTGAATAATTGTTTATAATGTAATTAGGTATGTTATCTCATGCATACGATAAGTAATACTTTGCGTTAAAAAACACATACAACATAAGGAAATAAAACAATGTAGCATATATGCAATGATAATACAAAAACAAAATGATTCTACGCGGAAATATACGAGAAAAATTGTTACACTTTTATCAAAAGAACAAAAAAATTACGTACAAGAATTCAATTAACATTTAAATTTTATTATCTATTGCAACAATAAAATATTGTATGTATGTCAATGTTATAACACACACGCACCTGCGCTTGTGTAGATGTATCCGGCATAGTTCAATGACCCTCCCCCTACAGCTGCCAGTGGATGTGGTTACTATATCCTATGTATAGATCCTTGCAGTATGATTCATGATACTAATATAGAGTAAATTTCCAGCTTTAGCGAGTAATATACTAGTGTTTGTTTTTATTTGA